GCAGGGCCCCTGGCCTCCAGCAGGAGGCGCTGTCTCGGGCAGGGCCCCTGGCCTCCAGCAGGAGGCGCTGTCGCAGGCAGGGCCCCTGGCCTCCAGCAGGAGGCGCTGAGCGAGCAGGGCCCCTGGCCTCCAGCAGGAGGCGCTGTCTCAGGCCGGCAGCCGCAGTGTCTCGGCATCTGTCGCCGCTGCAGCCTTGCCTTGCTTTCTAGGTCTGCGCACGGAGAGGGCTACCTGAGAAGGTTCCCCAGGGGTCGGGTAGATGGCACTGCAGGGTCTCTCCCTTGGGGACAGGCAGGAGTTCTCTCTGGAATGTTTGTGTTTGTCGGACAACAAAGGAGACGCTGCAACAAGAGGAGAGGCAGGAGCCTGGTCAGTCAGGGTGCTGGGCTCGGCCTGTCGGCTGGAGGGTGCTGGGGGCCGTGGCAGCCGCCACAGCGAGGGACACGGAAGCCACGGCCCTGGGGCTGGGTGGCTCCTGGGGCCCCATCGGGCGACCCCACAGCGGGCACTGACCTCTGGCGCTCGAGGGAGCGGAACTCGTCACGTTGGGCGACGCAGAGTGGGTGGAACTCAAGCTTGAGGTAGACGGGCTTGGCTGGAACACAGGGGAGCCCTTATCACACGCTGTTCAGGGGCCTGGCAGCGCCAACAACAGTCAGAACAAAAGTGCCGACATCATGGGGGGGGGGTCCAAATTAGCCAAAAAAGAAAAGGCCCTTCAGAAATACAGAAAAGTCTCACTAACTCAGAGTGATCAAAGACCTGTCTGAATTTATCAAGAACTTGGGCCGTGGCTCGGTTGGTTGGGTGTCACCTCAGGCCCTGAGAGGTCGCAGGTTCGATTCCCAGTCAGGGCACGTGCCCGGGTTGTGGGCTCGATCCCTGGCAGGGGGCGTGCAGGAGGCAGCCGATCGATATTTCGCTCTCACGTCAATGTTTCTCTCTCTCCCTTTCCCTTCCTCTCTCTCTAAAAAGTCAATTAAAAAATAATAATAACTCTTTAAAAAAGAACTTGAGATTTTGACTCCTGCCAAAGGCAGGCTCTCCTGCTACCCAGCGTTGTCTGCGACTCAGGGCCCATGGCAGGCTGTCCTGACTCGGACACGCAGAAGGACCCGGCCCAGGGCAGGTGGGCAGGTGAGTGCTTCTTAGAGGCAGAGGCTGGGTCTCCCCCCCACTGTCTCCAAAATATGTGTTCAAAGCATGTATCCGGGAAGAGGTATCAGGCCTCTTTTTCAAAGAGTGGAGAGGAAAACTCGGCTTAGTCTCACTGAACTATTACAAATGCCATAATAGTGGTGTCTAAATAAAACTTTTCGTTGCAAGAGTTACACTGACTCTACAAATCCCTAAAAAATATTTTTTCCTTTGACCAAAAAAAAACACAACACAAAACAGCTCTTTAATGCAGAAATTTTCTGACATGTACATAAGTAAGAGATTTTATAATGGATCCCTAAACCATGTATTTTTATGGGGGGTAAAAAACACTTAGAGCCCTGGCTAGTGTGCTCAGTGAGAGCTTCGGCCCTCACACCAAAGGGTTTCAGGTTCAATTCCCCGTCAAGGGCACCTACCTCAGTTGCAGGTCTGATCCCGGCCCTGGTCGGGGCGTGTGCGGGAGGCAACCGATCCACGTCTCTCTCTCATGGACGTTTCTCTCCCCCCCCCACTCTCTCTAAATCAATGTGAATATCCTCAGACAAGGATTCACAAAACAAAACAACTCAGAGGTGCTGCGAGGTGGCTATGAGGTGACAACAGTCCTGGTCTGGATCAGAACCAGGTGGGAGGGGGCTGGGGGCTGACCCGCCCGCGCCCAGGCTGCCCGATGGCTGGCTCCCGTCTCCTGGCAGCGACGGGGCAGCTCTGGGCCGTCCCGGCAGCCCCCAGAGGCCAACGCGAGCTCCAGGCTCGGCCCTGAGGTCAAGGCCGCGCTCCGGGCTCTGCGCACCAGCACCACCCGGAGGACAGAGGGGCCCGCGGAGCCGGGAGAGGCAGGCGCAGGCCCCAGAGAGCAGCGGGGTACCTGCATGTTGAAGACCTCGTCCGAGCTCTCCGACTGCCCCGTGATGTTGCTCACTTCCGCCGAGGCCTGCGAGGACAGTGACGACGAGGAGTAGCGGTTCACGGCCGGGTAGCTCAGCGGGCTGTTCCGGGACAGAGACGCTCGCTCGTGTCTGGGCCGCGCCTTCGCCCGCGGGCCTCGCACAGACCCGAAGGGGGGCCACACCCGCCCGCCGTCCCTCGACCTAACCCAACCTAACCCAGCGCTCGCGGAGCCGGACGCCGGCAGCTGCCTTGCGGGTTAATTATTTCATTAAGAAACAGCAGCCTTGACAAACCGACAAGATCGCCCCGATTGCCTGTGGGGGCGCCGAGCTGTCAGAGAACTGAGAACGGGCCTCACCTTCGCCTGGGAACGACCCGGGGGCCATCCGGGCTCATAGAGGCAGGAGCCGAGTTCCTGCACACGCGAGGGCTCCCGTTAGGAAAGTGGACGGGGCTGGCTTGGAGACAGGCAGAGAAGTCCTAAAGGGCATGACAGGGACACTTTAGAGGAGCCCCTGTGCGGGCAGGACCCCCGACGGGACATTTCACCGTATTAGATATGCGCCTGAGTACCGCGAAATCTTCGGGCATCGTGACACCTTTACTCAGGGCAGTTCGGTGAGTTTGGGCGTCGGGCAGTTTCAGCATCGCCGGCTGCCCCTCAGACGGTGCAGTTTGGTGGAGGCACCACAAGGTGTCACTGTCGACCGGCTCACGGCTGGCAGGCAGCAAGGGCGGTGGGCAGGCAACGTACGCACCTGTATCCCCAGGCTCGACTTCATCACGAAGAACTGGTCCACCAGCTTCTTGTGAAGGGGCCTCATATCCTGGGGGACAAACTTCTCGTGCACGGCCAGGCCGAACTCCAGGATCTGCGCCTTGAGGGTAACGTGAGGAAGAATCCACACCCGTGAGTCACCAGCTCCACTAAGGGCCGCCCGGGTCCCTCGCGTTCTGCACGCGTCAGCACGGACCCCGCTCCATACAACAGGACGGAAACAACCCCTAATCTACAGGGGGGACTCTGAGGCTCAGAATAGCCCTGCGACTAGGAAGAAACGCTGGGGGTGTGAACTGAGGCCTGTTCCTTCCACCCCAGGCGTCCTTCCCGTGTGTCAGGTCTGTAATCACCCTTCTGAGCGGGTGGGCGTCCCTCTGGCCCCTCCTGCCCTTCCCAGGGTGGGACAGGGGCTGCTCCCTGTTAGTGGGGTTGGGCGCGTCTCCCCAAGGGACCTCTTTTCTGGGGGCCCCCCTTTCCATGGGACTCCTCTCTCCCCTCAGGTTCTTCTGTGCCCATCCGTCCCTGCCCAGAAGTAGACTGTGGCACAGAGATCGGGATGCTTACTGGGGAGCAGCCTTAGGATCACTGGCCATGGGAGGGAGGGGCACAAAGATCTGAGCTGCAAGGCTGTGTCGTCAGCCCCTGTGACCCAGGCGAGCTCTGGGCCTTGAAAGGTTTGGGAGCCTTGTGCTGGTCTGGGCCCAGGTGGCCAGACTCTGTGTCTACTCCTCGGTCCCCGGGTATGAGCCCTCCAGGGAGGTGGTCACCTCAGGCCAGAAGGATCTGTGTAGCCAGCAACCCATGAAGGTAGCTGGTGCCTGAAGGACCCACTCCCGGGACGAGGAGTCCTCTCTGGCGAGCACTGCGCTGAGCGAAATCAGCCAGGCAGAGAAAGACAAGTGTCCCACGGTCTCGCGCACACGTGGAATCTAACGAACAAAACAGACTGACCAACAAGATCAGTCGGGAGGTGTGGACACAGGGACAGCCTGAGGAGCCTCAGAGGGCAGGGGCGGGTCTGGGGAGACAACCAAAGATCTTACACACGTAAGCCATGGACACAGACGGCAGTGTGAAGGGGGGGGGGACAGGGGACATCTGTGATACTGTCCACAATAGGAAATAAAAAGAAAAAGGTAGAAACTGGCGCTTTGGAATACGTCACAGGTGCATCTGTGAGCCCGACAACCACCCGCGCAGGGGACCGCGGGGGACCCTGGGGCCGCAGGAGCCAGAGCGGGGCCGGCTCCGCGCCTTCCTCACCTGCTCTAGCATCAGCTCCCGCAGCCGCGAGATTTTCTCCCCATCTTCCGGGTGGCTCAGGGTGTATTCTTTGACAAAGAAGGCCTGCGAAGAGACGGGGCGACCGGCTGACTCCGGGAGGCTTACGAAGGAAGCCGGGGGCCCCGCTGTTGTAACCACCTGGCGTCTTTGAAGAAACGACGCCCCTGGAAACCACGTTTGGGGAGCAGGTGGCGTGGCCCCCGGCGCGGGCAGCCGGTCAGAAGGGGAATGTAAGGAGAGGGCTGTGCGAGGAACATCGGAGGCTGTGCGCGCATTTGTGGTAAAAACAAGCAGCAACCCCAAGCGAGTGGGCTTTACGGCCTCATTTCTTAAACCAGCCGCCTCAGGCTGGGGATGCCCGGGCGCCGGCTTCCCCTTCCCAGCGGCTGTGCCTCTCTGTTGACCACCAAGGGGCAGACCCGCTGTCCACCCAAACAGCACCTCCTAAAGGTCACACTGTCCACGCCCGGGAACCTCCTTGCTCGGGGAAATGATTTCACGCAGACATTTGTTCAACACCCGCACGAGGTTTACTCGTCAGGAACACGCGGAGCCCGGCCGGCGCGGCTCAGGGGTCCGGCACGACCCGGGATCCAGGAGACCGAGGTTCGATTCCCGCAGGGCACACGCCCGGCTTGCGGGCTCCTCTCACCAGTGACCCCTCTCATCACTGATGTTTCTCTCTCTCCCTCCCCCTTCCTCTCTCCGAAATCAATAAAAACATTTTAAAAAGAAAAAAAAAAAAACCACACTTCTATCCTGAAAACCCCACGTTAGGACGCGGCGGGAGCCTCACAGGTGAGCTCGCCCGCTCGTCTCACCACGACCCCGCGGCGGCGGCCCTCGCGAGCGCGCTCACACGCGTGCCCGGTTTAAACAAAGACCTCTGAGGCCCGGAGAAACCGCGTCTGGGAGCTTCCGAGCGACAGCCCCCGGCCCTCACCTCTTGGTACCGGGAGACCCCGCCGTTCACGGCGGCGTCGATGACCCCGTTCAGGCACATGGTCAGGGGGTTGATGTTCTGCATCTGCCGGCTCTGGCACTGGCCGATGAGGGTCTTCAGCTGCTGGTTCTTGTTCTCGAGGACCTCGATGGCGTTCTCCAGGGGGCTCATCTCTACCTGGGGGCGCCGGGACAGACAGGCCCTGGGTTCTGAGACGCTCGGGACAAAGGCGATGACCCAGGCGCCCAGTGACCTGCGTCCCGCCCCCTCCCATCCCTATCGCTACCCCGGGGCCACCCCGCAGAAGAGGCAAGGGTGCCGGAGATGAACCGGCTGCTCGTTAGAGAGGCCTGGAAAGGGACAGTGGCAACGGCGATGGGGTGAGACGCGGTTCGGGTCATCCGCAGTCACTGGGCACCTATCAGCAGAGCAGCGAGCAATGTAACCCCTAAAAGAAAAAGTCACCTGACGACTTCTAAAGCTTCTGTGTTTTTTTAATCCCGAAGGGCTAACTAGTCAGGGGCACGCTCATGTCACTCGCTAGGTGCTCCCTGACCACACAGCACCACGGGGGACACAAGGACACACAGGGACCCCCTGACGTGAGGAGCTTCCGGCCCGGGGGCGGATGGGACCAGTACCCACAGGCACCGCACCTGCCACATCAGCATAAGGTGGCACAGAACGGGACAGGGTGGGAGGGACAGAAAGCNTCACTCGCTAGGTGCTCCCTGACCACACAGCACCACGGGGGACACAAGGACACACAGGGACCCCCTGATGCGAGGAGCTTCCGGCCCGGGGGCGGATGGGACCAGTACCCACAGGCACCGCACCTGCCACATCAGCATAAGGTGGCACAGAACGGGACAGGGTGGGAGGGACAGAAAGCAGGACAGTCACACGGGCCGGGGATCTGTTTGAAGGACGGCCGGCCACGCGGAATCGTGACGGGGCCATTCTGGGCTCTGTCTAGCTGTGGACGCAGGGAGCGTGCTCTCGGACGCGCAGCACGTGGCGGTGACAGCCACCGACGCTCTCTCTGAAGGGAAGCCTGCGGGGCTCTAAGCCGCGAGGCCGTTCCAGCTCACCGCGGGCACGTTTATATACTGCTTAAGGGAACAAATTAGAGTTTTTGAAGGTCGCTTAGATCGTTTTAAACCGACACGGAAAATGACAAGAACAACCGACGACGTCAGAACGGACGCTGCATGTTCCTCAGGACACTACGAAGAGCGGGGGCGATGCGCCGGGAAGCGCAAGGTGGCCTGTGCCGTGTAAGGCCGGCCGAGGGCTGGTCCACCGGTGCCTGGACACGCACATGAAGGGAAGGGACAGAGCTTCCTCCTCCCTTTCCTGTACCTCGGGGCACTCAGATCGTTGCTGGGGGCGCGCTTCTCATGAACAAACAGAGGGGTGACAAGACATTCCGGTTCTGTCGCCCCTCAGGGAGGACTGGGTTGGGGCGGGACCGTCAGGGGCCGCTGGCGTCGCAGAAAAAGACAACCGGAGGCACCTAACGCAGCCTGTGAGGTCGTCTTGCAAAAAATAAAAATGAAACATTGTATCTAACTGCCAATTTACAAAAAAAACNTACCAAAAAAAAACAAAATGAGAGACAAAGAAACAAATTAAATTACCCCGCTGGTTCTCAGGGCGCAACCTCCAGGCTTAAGAAAACATCCCACGATAAACAGAAAGCCNAAATTAAATTACCCCGCTGGTTCTCAGGGCGCAACCTCCAGGCTTAAGAAAACATCCCACGATAAACAAAGCGNTGTATCTAACTGCCAATTTACCAAAAAAAAACAAAATGAGAGACAAAGAAACAAATTAAATTACCCCGCTGGTTCTCAGGGCGCAACCTCCAGGCTTAAGAAAACATCCCACGATAAACAGAAAGCCGCAAGGAAACCAAGAGTGACTCGGTGGGGGGCCCGCTGTGGGTCAAAACTGCCTCAGGGGACATTTCCACCAATGGCCACGGGTGGCTCGTTCTTGGACCTGGATTCAAACCACACGTGACAAAAACCCAAGAAGCAAAACCCCGTAAAGTAAGCAGACTCCCGGGGAAGCTGAAGGGACAGCGACGGGACAGTCGTGCTGGAGGAGCTGTTTAGGGGGATAACGAACGTGCTGCGGTTGGGTCTTCCCGCTGGGGACAGACACACTGGAATATTTATCGCCCAAACGAGACCGACTTTAAAACGCCCAGCGGGAAAGAGAACGGGCCACGGTGCCGAGGAAGCAAAACTGGCCTCCCGCGTAGTTGTTCAAGTCAAACGATGGATAGAACAAGTTCGTTACATATTTTCCACGTTTTTTATGATGGAACTTAGGCTGTGAAGTGAGCGCCGGCGCCTGCAGAGCTCGGGCGCGAGGCGGCGCCAGCAGCGGGGCCGGGAAGACCTGGGTCTACGGGGAGGCAGAGCCACGGGCTTCTCTGATGGACATAATGGGAGCTGTGGTAACAGTCTCATTACCTTTAGTTGGAGTGTAAAAAATTATTATGGATACATTCTATTTCATAGTTTCTAAATCTTGTTTAAAACTTTTAAAATAAGCTTACTTTTTAATCAGAAAATAACACAGATTTTTTTTGTTTTNACATTCTATTTCATAGTTTCTAAATCTTGTTTAAAACTTTTAAAATAAGCTTACTTTTTAATCAGAAAATAACACAGGTTTTTTTTTTTTTTGGTTTTCAAAACAGTAAACAAAAGCAGCTACTGAGGAGACGGTAGCTCAGAGGCACTGTTATCCCGGAAAGGAGGGACGAGATGTCCAGAAGCGACAATAGGCAGTCAGGGCCCAGTCTCATCGAAACCTCCGGGGCTTCGGAACCCAGAGCGTGTCAGGTTTTAGAAGCTAATACGGGGCACGTGTCGCATCGGGGACCCGCAAGTGGGGAGGGGAAGTTCCCTTTAATCAAATGCACGGGGAGTTCTGCAGGAAAACACCTGAACATTCGCACTAAGTGAGGTAAAGAGCGTAAGTGGTCTTATGTCCGATCATTTATCATTCTGGAGCCCAACTTTTGAAAACACCTTCCGGTTTTCAGAATCGTTTAGGTTCTGGCGAGGTAATAAGGAGTTCCAGCTCAGTTTGGCACGTGTGTACGGAGGACCTACTACGCGCCCTGATCCTGAGGACCGTCTATACCAGGGAACCAGGAGCTTTAATGCAAAGGGGGGGACCTGCCAGGCGGCGGGAGGGAGAAAGGAGTGGGCTGTGCTCCGGGAACACAGTGGCCCAGTGATTGGTCCTGTTGGATGGAATAGAAGATGCCTGTTCCAATAACGTGGGCAGCTGCCCAAAAGGTTGTCTTTAGTAAGCTCCNCTGTTCCAATAACGTGGGCAGCTGCCCGAAAGGTTGTCTTTAGTAAGCTCCTGGCATCTTTATCAGCATGCTCCTCGTGATTAGAGGTGTGTGAATGTGCCTGTGTGTGCCCGTGTGCACGTGTGTGCCTGTGTGCCTGTGTGTGCCTGTGTGTGCCTGTGTGCATGTGTGTGCCTGTGTGCACGTGTGCATGTGTGTGCCTGTGTGCATGTGTGTGCCTGTGTGCCTGTGTGTGCCTGTGTGCCNCTGGCATCTTTATCAGCATGCTCCTCGTGATTAGAGGTGTGTGAATGTGCATGTGTGTGCCTGTGTGTGCCTGTGCGCACGTGTGTGCCTGTGTGCCTGTGTGTGCATGTGTTGCATGTGTGTGCCTGTGTGCATGTGTGTGCATGTGTGTGCCTGTGTGCATGTGTGTGCCTGTGTGTGCCTGTGTGCATGTGTGTGCCTGTGTGTGCCTGTGTGCATGTGTATGCCTGTGTGTGCCTGTGTGCATGTGTGTGCATGTGTGTGCATGTGTGCATGTGTATGCCTGTGTGTGCCTGTGTGCATGTGTGTGCCTGTGTGTACGTGTGCCTGTGTGCACGTGTGCCTGTGTGCATGTGTGTGCATGTGTGTGCCTGTGTGTGCCTGTGTGCACATGTGTGCCTGTGTGCATGTGTGTGCCTATGTGCATGTGGGTATGGTATTTCCAGGGGGAAGCCCACTGGTGAGAGCGCAGAGCTGGGCACTCCAGGCAGCGAGCAGCGGGCAGGCCGTCTGGACCGTGTGCTCGGATGACCGAGAGCCTCTCTGCGGGCCGGGCCCCTGCCTTTCTGAAGGCAGCCGAGCAGGAAGCCTTTCAAGCTCCATGTTTAGCNGCGGGCAGGCCGTCTGGACCGTGTGCTCGGATGACCGAGAGCCTCTCTGCGGGCCGGGCCCCTGCCTTTCTGAAGGCAGCCGAGCAGGAAGCCTTCCCGAGCTCTGTGTTTAGCANTGCCTTTCTGAAGGCAGCCGAGCAGGAAGCCTTTCAAGCTCCATGTTTAGCGCCTCTCCTCGCCCACGGGAGGCACCCAGGTGTCACCACGTAAGAGCCAGCGCGGGGACTCCTGCCTCAGGCCCTCGGAGAAAACACTGCCCTGGATTTGTTAGGGAGCCGCCTGCATTTTCTGCCTCTGCAAAGTGAAAATGCCGTTAAACCCTTAGCCTCACTGAACATAAGCTGCGGGGGTTTCGGCGCTTAGAGACTCAGGTCGGACGAGCTGTTCTCAGAAGACAGGGCAGGACCTGCTCTTCTTCACCCACTGAATAGAGTGGGCTTGTCATCCAGATAACAAGAGGCTAAATGACATTTTCACATCACCTAGGGGACAGCGGCAGTCAAAGGGCGGGCCTTGGCCCTAATGATGCCCGAGGGAGGGGGAAGGCTGCTGGATGCCCAGGGCTGAGGCGGACACTGCGGTGCTGGCACCGTGTGGAGCTGCCCGGGCAGCGGGCAGTGGGCAGCGGGCGGGGTCTCACCGTCAGCAACTGCTCTCCCTGTTCCCCCACTGGGGACGGGAGCTGGGGTATGTCCGACACCCCGAGAGCTCTCGGTGCTGGGGCTCCAGGTTCTAACCACACCCACTGCTCTCCAGCTGGCATTCCTCCGGGACTGCGCGGCGAGACGCACACCCCAGCACCCTGCCACTGCGGCCTCGCCGTGTGACCCACACTGCGCGGGGCCCCCACCAGCACAGGCTCGCTGCGCGGGGCCTCCATACGAGCCTCCTGTTGCGCAGAAGGGAACTGAGGCTTGAAGAGGTGAACCCCATTCTCTTGGAGTCAGAAAAACCTGGGTTCAAGGCTATCCCTGCTCAACACCTTGCTATGGGACCTCTGGCGAGAGGGGGAGCGAGCACGTGGCTCATGGCTTGGACGTGGAGACTGACTGGGCCACTGCAGAAGCTCCTAGCCCTGGCCTGGCCACGATCACTGAAGGTGGCCCAGCCACAGTCACCATGAGAGCTGGAGTCCCGGTTCTTCTAACTCCAGGCCCGCCCTGTGTGGGCGCTCAGGCCTCCTTACCTCTGAGGACGCCCCCTGCCCGTTAGACAAGAATAGCAATGCCCTCCTTCAGGCCCCGGGCACAGCGGTCAGTGTGATAACCACTCACTCACTTGCTCTGAGGGCTTCTAGGGCTTCGAGTCACAGGCAGGAGAAACTAACCCCGGCGGGACCCCAGGGGAGGGGCCCTGATGAGAAAGTGCCCAGAGGAAGCTGGGTCCTTACCACCTCGCGCCTGTCCACCTCGAACCAGCGGGAGATGCCGGGCAAACTCTGCACCAGGAACAGCGAGGTCCTCTCCACCCAGAGACTCTGCAGGACAGAGGACAGAGGACAGGTCAATCCCCAGCTGCCCTTCCCGTTACCGAGCTGTGACTTTTACCAGGTTTTGCTTATTTCTCTCTGCTTTTCTTGGGTGTTCATCATGGTGCTTGGGTGACGGGAACCCCTGCTCACCAAGTGAAGAAAGGACTGAGCTCCCCCAGGACCCCTCGAAGACTGGGGCCCACGGGCATCGGAGCTGGCATGAGGCAGCTGGTGCCAGGACCCGCTCTGACTGGCCGAGGCAAATTCCCGGGCTGGGGGCCAGAATCGTCTGGGTTAGAAAGCGCCCCGTGTCGCTCTGGACCCCACAGCGTTCGACAACTGCGAGGCTAAGTGATTTCCGGGCCCCCCTGGTTCCCTTGGTGACTTTACTCTGAGTCAGCCCCCAGCGAGAGCCTGCGCCCCGGGAGCTCCTGGCACGAGAGACCTGTGCGCACCTTAAATTCGTTCTCCTTGTCCTTGGGGCCCTTGTGAAACGGCCGGTCGTAGCGGAACTTCCAGATGTGGTTCACTTTATAGAAGCTCTTGATGTTGTCCGGGACGCCCTCCCGCTGCAGCACCTCCTGGCTCTCGGGGATGGGGGTCACCGCGTAGATCTGCAGGTCTGGGGGGGAGTCAAGGAGGAAACCGCACGAGGCAAGCGCCGCGCAGCCTGGCTCGCGCTGAGCCGTGGCGGACAGACAGGGATGGGTGGCTGTCCGGTATTCCCTCCCCTTCGGCTGTAACTTAAAACATCCCCAGAACGTGCCCAGACTCAGTTTCTAACCATCACTTCACACGGGATAGGTCAGCGATTCTGGAGAAAAGNGTTTGAAATATCTATGACCCGTGAATTCATCACTGATTTTTTTTTGGAGGGGTGGGTGGGAATTGCCTGGATCCGAGGCCCTCGGAATTGCATGGAATTGCATGAACTCTAACCCTTGGATCTTATCTTTAGCTGCTGCAGGAGATACACTGTCTTCCGTCACGCATGGCGCGTTTTAGTTATTTAACAATGTATCAAGGCCCGTGCAATGGCGACCAAGGACGGGAGCCAGTGCTGAGGTGACTGACATTTACCTGCTCGAGTCTTCACATCGGCAGCCTCCCCACGGACTCTATGGACCCTACCCCCACCAGATCTTGTGCTGATAGCCCGAGGTTTCATTGTCGTTGATATTTTTAAAATTACATATATTATCATTGTATCTTTATCTTCTCTTCTCATTCAAAGGAGAGCAAAGTATCCTTCTCTGTGTAATTTTTTGCTTCTGTTGCATTTTAGGGTCTACTTTGAAATGGTATCCAAGATTACGGGGCGCTCTGGTCTTTAAGAAACTCAGGGCCAGGAGGAGACAGAGGGATTCAGAAACCCCGCGCTGGTGAATCCCGTGGCGTCTCATGTCAGCAGAGCTGTTCCTGGTTAGGCCACGGGTGTGGCAGTTACACAGCAATGACACAGGCTGCCGAGGACACCGGGGCGAAGAGCCCCCCAAGTACCGGGCACCTCCTTTCCTTCCCTTCCTCACTCCATAATAAAAACATTAAGAGAAAAGGGGGTGAATGATACGTTCCCGTAAACACAAGGCTGTTACTTCCTTGAACCGAAGTCGTTTCTGTCGGATGTCAGAGGAAAGTCACTCAAGGGGAAATCGCTAAAGAGAGCTTTAAAAGCTGGGCTAAGAGACAGATGTGTTTTAATTAAAAGGGAAAGAAATTAAACCGAATCTTTAAGAGATTTCTTTCCAACTGACACCATGATACTAAACAGAACAATTCTGCTCAGAAGGAGCTGAGCTAAAATAAGAGACGAGAGACGGAGAGAGGCTGAGCCCACAGGGGCCCTGGCTGCACAGCTGGGGGGAGGGGGCTCTGAGCCACCCGCCAGGTGACGCGGCCCGGCCCCGGGCATGGATACACTGCGCCTCAGCCTGGAAGATGGTCTCGTCGGGCTGGTTGGCGTGCTGCATGGCGATCGCGTGCGGGAACTCGCTCAGCATCCTCTGCTGGAAGGCCTCCAGCCGCTCGTAGTCATGTCCCCGGCACACAAACTCCTTGTTCTGCAGGCAGAATAAAAACCGAACAAAACAGCTTGGCCTGGCCGGTGTTGCTCAGTGACTGAGCATCGACCTGTGAACCAAGAGATCCCTGGTTCGATTCCCGGTCAGGGCCCAGGCCCGGGTCTCAGGCTCAGTCCCCAGCAGGGGGCGAGCAGGAGGCGGCCGATCCACGACTCTCATCACTGATGTTTCTCTCTCTCTCTCCCCTCCCTTCCTCTCTCTGAAATCAATAAAACAAATTAACTGACAAAACAGAAACAGACTCCTAGATACAGAAAACAGACTGACAGCTGTCGGGGGTAGCTGGTTTGGGGGGCTGGGTGAAAAAAGTGAAATGACAACGTTGCCTATAGTGTGGGACCCCGGCCCCACCTGGCCAGCACTTTCTCCAATGCTAACTCTGACGATGGCCGACAAGACCAAATCATGAATATCAGCCCCATGAGGAAAACAACTCTAGTGACCAGGGACTGCTCATCCACACAGCTAACTCTGAAATGTGGGGAACAGAATCACAAGACTGTCCAATATCTTGGGAAGTTATTTGAAACGAAGCACCTAGGTGAGCACGGGGCTTGCAGAGTAAACGGGAAAGAGCGGCCCCTGGGGTTCCCACCGACCTGACCGAGACGGACGTCGGCCGTGTCTCAGCCTTGAGGGCTGGGGTCTCTGCCCAGCACGTGTGGACCCACGTGAAACAGCACATTACTCACTCGTAAGAAAAATGGGAATTTCTTCCCGTAAAACCCAACTCTGAAGAACTCCGGTTCCAGGCGCTGCTGGTCCATGATTTTGTCGTACAGAGAGGCCTCCATCATCTGGGGAAGCAAGGAGACGTCCGGTCATTCCTCTCACCCGCCAGCTCCTGCACCTTCGGGAGCGGGTTTCTCCACAGGGGAGAGCGAGCTTGGCATCAGCTCTCGGCCGCTCGCTGCCCCGCCTTCAAAGCAGCGGGGGTTAGGACAGGAGCTCGCCGCAGAAGACGGTTTCCACGCACAGTCCATCGAGGAAATACTTTCCTCCCGGTTAAATAAAAATGAACACGGACCGGGGGAAGCAACCCTTCTGGAGAATTCCCGTGCCAGGTGAGCTCACCGTGGGTTTGCATCTCCTGGGACATGGGATCTAGGACACCTGAGGGGGGGTGACCTCGCTCAGGTTGGACTGGGATAAACTGGCCGGCGAAGCGGAGGCGGCCCACGCGCAGGCGCGGCCTGGCTGCGCTCTGGACGGTCACTTTGACAGAGGTGAGCTAGACACGGAGGTCACGGTTTCCCACTCACTGCCGATCGTCCCCAGGGCTTCCAGAGAAAGACGTTGTACGGGAAGCCTCCCCGTCCCCGCCTGCGTCACAGCACCTGAAAGGCTTCTGAACATCGCAGCGGAGACGGTGCCCGAGGGCTTTCCCGGCAAACCCGGTACCCTGGCTTCTGTTACGGGGACCAGACGCCAAGCGCAGGGGCGCTGGTTTCGTATGGCCGGAGCCGGCGCGATGGCCGGGAGGGAGCACAGGGTGTTTTCCCGGCTGGGCTCAGGTTGGGAGAAATGCCGAGGACCCGCCGGCAGGAAGCAGCGCAGGAGCGAGCGGCCGGCTCCTGCCGGCTGGGTTACCGGGGGAACGACACAGGCTGTGAAGGTTTACAACGGCACCTCTCTGCTGCCTCGAGTTAAAAGGCAACATCATCGCCTCCGTTTTTAAATGTAGAAGCTGATGATGGTACTTTCGAAACCAGGAGGAACGCCACGGCGCCAAAGAAAGGCGGGGAGGGCGCCAGGGCTGGTGCGAGCCGGAGGGCCGGGTTAGCAAATCTTTGGTTCACAGAGAACGTGAAAACTCCTCGAGCTCTCGGGGGGGCCGAGGTTTAGGTTTAGCAAATACGAGTACATTTCTGAAGCTAAGGAGAGGTGACACCTATAGAATTCTGCCCCCAAATACTAAAAATGGGCCAGTGAACCGTTTCTACTCTTTTGCTGAGCGCAGCACAGGACTAAGGAGGATACATTGTTACAGAGATTTGTGTCCACGTGGGAAGCTCTTGCCACAGTGTGTGGACCTTCCTCAAACTAAAAGTATGAATCCTGGCTTGGACTGTGATCTTCTGATGCGGCGTTTAGCCCAGATCAGAGATTTCCAACCGGCGTGCCCCAAGAATTTTTAAAACATGCAACACCTGACTATTTAGTCAGGGGCACTGCCCTGTTTTCCCTTAAATTGTCAAATTAAAAAAACCAAAACAAAAAAAAAACCAACAGCTAACACAATAGCCATCCGGTGTGAATCAAAATTACACCTATTTTTTTTGTCACATCGGCAAAAAATATATTTTTGGGGTGCACAGAATTTTAGGTATGAGTCTGTGTGCCCTGAGATGGGAAAGGTTGACAGCCGCTGGCCTAGTCCGGGACTCACTTCCCGTGTCACCCAAGTCCCACCCAGGGCAATGAGCTGTGTCCCTGCACAACAGCTGAGCAGGCCCCCGAGGGAAGACTCATCTTCAGGGCTCCTATGAGACATGTCGGGACGGCCACAGAGGTGACGTCACGCTGGGAAGCCCGCGAGCTCGCCCCGGCCTTACCCTCATCTTGCTCAGGTTCCTGTAGTCGTAGTAGCTCTCGTACTGCTCCGCGATCTTCCGGCACAGGATGATGCCATTCTCCCAGCACTGCGGACCGGGAGGGGCGCAGGTCAGTGACCCCACCACCCACGCCTGCTCGCCTCCGCCCAGGGCCGGGGGGACCGCCTCCCATCCTCGGGTCTCTCACCTCTCCATCCCTATGACCTGCCACTAAGGGGACCACTGCGGCTTTCAGCACGAAGGCAGCATGTAATTAACGTGTAAATTATTAAAAGTCTTTTTTTAGGAAGTTGGAAATGACGATTCAGCCCAACAGTCACTAACGCGTGGTGCAGAATCAGCACTGAAACAACTACGGCCCCACGACAGCCAAGGAGATGGATGAACAGACCCCGGGTGCTGAGGGCAGTCGCCACCGAGCCCTGCGGCGGCTTAACCACCCTGGCGGGGGGCTCCCGCTTGGCTCCATCGAACCTGTGACCTGTGAGGGGCTAATCCAGTCGGTTACTCTCAGCAAAAATGCACAATTCCTTCCATCCCGCTCACGTGGCAGCAAACCTCAGCAGAGGGCCGGACGGTCACTACTCTAGGCTCCGTGGGCCACACGGCCCGAGTCACACGGCCCACTGTGCGTCCAGGCGGGAAGCAGCCACAGACAAGAACAAGCTGTGTGTTCCGGTCAGACTGCAATCTATGACCCGAAATGTGAATTTCGATCGTTTTCACATGTCAGGCATTCCTTTCGATTGCTTTGCATGTTTGAAAACGGGGAAGCGATTCTTAGACTGTGGGCTGTGCAGAAACAGGCCGGGAGCCGTTGGACCCAGGGGCTGTCGTTGGCCTCTCCTGACCTTGCACAGACTCCAGAATTGGCCACAGGTGCCCAGAGGTCTTGTTACAGCCCAGCCTGCAGGGGGAAACATCTCCCCCGGGGGCAGAGAGGCAGCTCCGGCTCATATCCTAATGACGTGCCCGTGGGGCCAGATAAACAATCCAGGGGGATGGGAGAGAAGCTCGGGCTGGCATCCACTTGTTAGGGTCCCAGCCATGTTCTATAAAAGCATCAGAGGCCCTGACTCTATTTTAATTTTCTGTTTAACGTGGGCAATTGGACAATACGTTTACATCTACGACATGGGTCACCAAAGCATCCAAGTGTTCAAACCAAATAGACAGCTGTGATCAGAGTCACACGTCATTTTAAAGAACTCGTACAGCAAGTCCTTGAGGGGGAGGGTGGCGGGAGGGGATGAGCCGACCGGCACTCCCGCGTCACAGGCTTCCTACCCGGGGGCATCTCTAAATCCTTTCAGCTAATGCCCCTACGTTTACTTTGCCGTACAGAGTGGCAGGGGGTGGAACGTGCCAATTTGGGGATGTGAGTGAGAGGTGGTAATTTTTCAGAGAATAAAATACCTGGGTCCC